AAATTTTTAAACTTTTTCTTGCTACTTCTTTGGCCAGTGTGTTTGGAGAAACTTGGGTTTTCTGCTTGAATATTTTTAAATTTAATATGCAGAGAGATGTGAGAGTGTGAAGCATGCTCCTATTTGCTGGTTTACTCCCCAAATACCCACAGTGCCTGAGACTGAAGTCCGGAGCTGGAAACTCAACCCAGGTCTCCCATGTGGGAGGCCGGAACCTGACTACTTGAGCCAACACCTCTGCCTCCTAGGGTGAGCATTAGCAGGAAGTTGGATGGGAAGCACTAGTGGGACTCTAACTTGGGCACTTGGATTGGGATGCAGGTGTCTAGGTGACCACCAAAGTTCTATGGCAGAAGTCCACCCCATGGACTGTATACTTTAAATGGGTGAATTCTATGGTATGCAATTCTTTTAAAAATGTAATTATTCATTTGAAAGTCAATATTGGGACCAGTGCTGTGGCACAGTGGGTTAAAGCCCTGGCCTGAGGCGCCAGCATCCCATATGAGTGCCAGTTCTAGTCCTGGCTGCTCCTCTTCTGATCCAGCTCTCTGCTTTGGCCTGGGAAAGCAGTGGAAGATGGCCCAAGTCCTTGGGCCCCTGCACCTGTGTGGGAGACTGGGAGGGGACTCCTGGCTCCTGGCTTCAGATTGGCTCAGCTCCGGCCTTTGCGGCCATCTGGGGAGTGAACCAGAAGATGAAAGACCTCTCTCTCTCTCTCTGTCTCTACCTCTCTCTGTAACTCTGTCTTTCAAATAAATAAAATAAATCTTTTTGTTTAAAGTCAATGTTTTATATATAGAGAGAGGTCTTCCATCCACTAGTTCACTCCCCAGATGGCCACAATGGCCAGGGCTGAACCAGGCCAAAACCAGGAGCCGCGGCACCTCATCCAGATCTCCCACATGGGTAGCAGGGGATGAAACACGTAGGGCCATATTCCACTGCTTTTTCCAGGCCATTAGCAAGGAACTGGATTGGAAGTGGAGCAGCTAGAATAGGAACTGGCACCTGCATTGGATTATGGTGTCATGGGTGGTGGCTTGACCCACACCACCACAATGCTGGCCCTGGTGTGTGAATTTTATCTCCATAAAGTAATTCAAAAATAAACTGGTTTCAAAATCACATCTCATTTGCCTCAAAGCTGATTACCTGCTAGAAGAAGCCAAGGAAGGAGAAATGGCAAGATTTCTTGGAATACCTTGGTAAGCAAGAAGGAAAAGCAGTACTCAGAAATGGGCCAGGGTGCATCCAAAGAACATTGCAAGGTGAAAGGGTCTCTGGCCAAATAGCAGGGAATTAAAGCATTTAAAAAGGAGGGAGGAAGGAATAGTAATTACTGTCAATATTGATAGAAAATAAAAAACTAGGCAAAAAATAGAAAAAATAAGAGAATAGAGGAAGAAGTAAAAGCTTTTCCTTATGTAAGAATGTCACCTAATTAACACAGATGGAATGCGTGTGGTAGGGAAAGCCTCTTTCTGCAGCGCCAGCAGAAAGGGCGCTGGTTCTAGTCCTGGCTGCTCCTCTTCCAGTCCAGCTCTCTGCTAGTGACCTGGAAAGGGGCCCAAGGACTGACAGGGAAGATCCGGAAGAAGCTCCTGGCTCCTGGCTTCAGATTAGTCCAGCGTCAGCTTTGGCGGCCATTTGAGGAGTGACCCAGTGGATGGAGCACCTATATCTCTGTCTCTCTCTCTCTCTGCCTGTAACTCTGCCTCTCAAATAAATAAATAAATAAATAAATCTTAAAAAAAAAGAAAACAGTTGATTCAGGCAAGCATTACTGAAAAACTTTTAGGGAAAATGTATTCACATGGTCTCAAAGTTTTACCCCACAGGTGACTTTAAGTAAGGTGAAATTTACATACAATGAGATGATCATTTTACAGTAAACATTTTAAAGTTGTGCCACCCCATCTCCAACTCCTAATGCCTTGATCATTGCCAAATAAAATCTGATTTCCACGAAATATTTGCTTCCCCACTGCCCCTTCCCCTTCCCCCTAGCAACCACTGATCTGCCTTTGGTGATCTTGCCTACTCTGGATATTTCATATAAATGCAGTCATATAATATGTAACTGTTTGGGTCTGGTTTCTTTCACTTTGCCCAATATTTTTGAGGTTCATCATATTGTAGTATGTGTCAGGATTTTATTCAGGTCTATGAAAATTATTCAGTACAATTTACCCATTCATCTGAGGTTAGACATTTTTGATTTCACCTTTTGTTTACTGTATTAGCGCTACTAGAGCATTTATGGACAAAGATTTTCAGTTCTGGTGGATATATACCTAGAAGTAGAATTCTTGGTAATTCTAAGATAAGTTTTTGAATAACTAATAAAAATGTTTTCTATCAGAACTGTAGTGGAATGATGTGGTGAAAAGGTCATGCTAAGATGGCTGCTGAGGTGAAAAGGTCATGCCAAGATGGCCGCTAACAACAGAAACTGCCTGGCAACAGGCTGTGATTGGATGGCTTCAGAAATCACATGACAACAGAGGAAACCACATGACAACAGAGTCTGACTGACAGCAGGCCATGATTGGATGGTTTCAGAAACTGCCTGGCAACAAGAGCCTGACTGGCAACAGGCTGTGATTGGTTAGGGCATAGAACACCCCCTGACCGGATTGGCTGCCTTGGCTATATAAGCAATTGTAGCAACTGAAATAAATAAGTCTGCAGGCTGCTTGCCTCAGGCCTGCTTTTACCTAACTCCCAGAGTCTGTGTGGTGACTCCGCGCCTCTGGCCCCCACCACGCTCCTCCTCTCAGAACGAACCCTCTCAGAACGAATCAACCTCAACATAGAACTGCAATATTTTCCATCCTCTCCCACCCCTCAAGGAATGGACTAGGGTTTCAGTTGCTTTCAATATTTGGGGGTCCAAAATTCTAATCAATACTTGTCCATTTCAAACGAAAAATTATACTGTTAGGTGTGACGTGTTCTTGTTGTAGTTTTGCTTTGCATATCCCTAATGATCAGTGATGTTGCGCATCTTGTATGTGTGTGTGTGTTGGCCATTTATAAGTTTTGAAGAAATGTGCATTCAAGTCTTTTGCCTATTTTTGACACAGACTACCTTTTAAATACCAAAGGAAAAAGAGGGGCTGGCACTGTGCTGTAGCGGGTAAAGCCACTACCCGCAGCAGAGGCATCCATATGGGCACCAGTTTGAGTCCCGGTGCTCCACTTTCAATCCAGCTCTCTGCTAATGGCCTGGGATGGCAGCAGAAGATGACCCAAGTCCTTGGGCCCCTACACCAAGTGGCAGACCTGGAAGAAGCTCCTGGATGCTGGCTTCAGATTGGTCCAGCTCTGACTGTTGCAGCCATTTGGGGAGTGAACCAGTGGATGGAAGACCTCTGTCTCTCGGTCTCTCTCTGTAACCCTGCCTTTCAAATAAATAAATAAATTCTGAAAGAAGAAAAAGAGACCTTTGCCATGGAGAAATGATTAGATTAGACGTAACCACACTGTCACTGAACAAGCTAGCATCACTTGTGCACTAAGAGGGATACAGCATCAGTGTACAACAGAAATCCCTGACAAAATTGTTCAACTCCAGTCTAACTGTAGGAAAGCAAATAGAAATTGAGGAACATTCTGCAAAACAGTAGAACTGTATTCTTCCAAAGAGTCAAGGTTATGAAACAGAATAAGTAAACAAAACCAGGGCTTATTCTCTACTAAAGGAGCTTAAATAGGACAACCCAATGCAATGGATGGTCCTTGATTGTATCCTGGGTTGGAAAAAAAAGTCAACTAAAAAGGCTAATAAAGGGCCAGTTTGAAAACTCAAATATGGACTGTATATTACAGAATATCACATTGCATCAAGAAAGTTAACTTTTTTGGAGAGAATAGAATTCTGAGCATGTAGGAGGGTATCTTTGTTCTCAGTAGATACACATTGAAATACTTGGGGGTAACAGGTACAAGAGGCAGATGTGGAGAAATGTTAAATACTGGTGTTTATGGTTCATATGGCCTTCGTTATATTTTTCTTGCGTCTTTCCTGTCGGTTTGATATATATTTTTTAATTTTTTAATTTGACAGAGTTAAGACAGAGAGACAGAAAGAAAGGTCTTCCTTTCGTTGGTTCACTCCCCAAATGGCCGCTATGGCCGGAGCTATGCCCATCCGAAGTCAGGAGCCGGGTGCTTCCTCCCGGTCTCCCATGCAGGTGCAGGGCCCAAGCACTTGGGCCATCCTCCACTGCCCTCCCAGGCCACAGCAGAGAGCTGGACTGGAAGAGGAGCCACCGGGACAAGAACCTGGCGCCCACATGTGGGATGCCGGCGCCGTGGCGGAAGATTAACCAAATGAGCCACCGCGCCAGTCCCAGTTTGATATTTTGAGGGCGAGTCAGCGGTCCCAGACCAGGCTGGGTGGACGGCCAAAGCCAGCCTCAGGGGCGCGCGCGGCGGAGGCCGGGACTGCGGGGCGCGGTCGGCGCCGGTGGGTGACGGGGTGGGGGTGGGGGTGGGTGAGGGGCGCGCTGCAGGGTCCGATGACCCCGGGCTGCGGGAGGGGCGGCGCGGGCGCGGTTCTGCGGAGGCTGCTGCCCGGCTCGGCCCCACTCCGCTCCCGCGTCGTCCACGCCAACGTCGCTTGGACGCGGTGACAGCGCTCCGGGAAAGCTGCGCGGCCCTGCCCGACCGCTAATGGTGGTGCTGGCCACTCAGGCCCGAAAGAGGAGGCCGAAAAGAGAGAAAAAGTGAGTCCACGCCGCGCTCGTCTCGGGTCCCTTCCTGCCCCACCGGGGCGGGGGCAGCCGGCGGCCGAGCAGGGCGAAGTTGCCCGGGGTCCCGGGGCGCCGGCGCTCGGCTCCTGCGCGCCCCGCGGGCCGTCCAGGGACGGGGACGCCTGTCCCGCCGCCTGCCTCTAGGCCCGCGCCCCCGGACCGGTTCTCCGCGGGAGGCGGGAAGGCCCCGGGCGTGCGCGCGGGGCTGACCTGGGGGTCGCAGGCCTTTCCCTAGCGGCCTTCGGGGCGCGCGCCTGAGTCGGTTGCGCGGTTACCACCTGGATGGCTGGGGGCCCCGGCGGCGTTGGAGGAGGCGAACCAGGCCGCCGCCTCCTCCGCGGCCCCTTCGGCTTTTCTGCCCCGCAGGCGATCGGAGCGTCGAGGGGCTCGCCTCGGGCTGGTTCCTGGAGTATTTCTGCTCCGACGCCCGTGCGTTTCTGCGCTCAGGTTCGTCTTCGAAACTTTGTGCTCCCGCGTTGCGCCGGCCGCGGAGCCCTGGGCCGGGGGCGTCGACGTCGCGGCCGCCGCCTGCGCCCGGCCCTGCCAGGGAGCCTTTCCCGGAGAGCGGCTTGGGGCCGCCGCCGCTGCCGCCCGGCCGGGCTGTGGCCGTGCCCGTGCCCGTGCCCGCCGTGAGCCTCGTTACCCCTTCCGATCGGGGGCCTCGCTCCGGGTGTGGAGCGAGACCTACTCTGTGCCGTGGCTTGGTGCTTCGGGGAAGGGCGCGGAGGCGTTCCCGTCGCTGTGTCCTTCGCCGCGGCCTTGACCCGTGACGAAGGTGCTGGTGTGTCCACGGCCGGGTGTTTTGTTCGCGGAAAGCCCAACTGCAAAGTGCGTGGAGGGCTCCGCAAGCCGGGTTTCGGCTGGACCATGCCTTCCTGAACAGGAACCCGCGAGTGCGGGAAAGGGGTTTCTTAGGCACTTGAAGAACCGCCGGGTCAAGTCGGACGTTGAATTCTCAGGAGGGCGAAAGGCGTGGATTTCTGGTACTTTCAGATGCGTTTAAGAAATTAGTGCTGAGCTGTCAGGTCCGTCAGAGCCTTCCATTCGGGATTTCCCTTGGTGAACCAGTGAGGTTGAGCCTGTAAGTCAGGAGACCTGTAACGGGGAGGATTCGGGGTGAGTGAGGACTGAGGGTTTTTCTCTCTTTTTGTTTTTTAAAGATTTATTTTATTTATTTTGAAAGGGAGAGTTAGCAAAGGAGAGACAGAGAGATCTTCAGTCTGCTAGTTCACTCCCCAGATGGCCAGCTGGGCCTGGGCCAGGAAGAAGCCAGGAGCCTGGAGCGTCTTTCAGGTCTCCCACATGAGTGCAGTGGCCCAAGCACCTGGGCCTTGTTTTGCTGCTTTCCCCAGCACATTAGCAAGGAGCCGGAAGGGAAGTGGAGCCGCCGGGATTCCAAGGGGCTCCCATATGGTATGCCAGTGGTAGTGCAGTTGGTGGCTTGACCCCCTAAGCCACAGCACCAGACCCCAGGGCAGAGTTTTAACCACAGCTTTCAGTCCAACCCTTGATTTATTTCTGCATAGCCCATTATGCTCAGAAACATAAAAAGAAGTTAGAAAAAGCGTAGCCTCAGTTTGGGGGATGGTTATGTAGTATGTATATATAAATAGAAAGTTCGCTGAAAATTGAATTAGAAATTTCATGCAGAATGTTTTTGAAAAACACAGGGCATCTTTAACATTCATGAAAAAACATTGCTGCTTTTAACAATTCTTTTTTTTTTTTTTAAGATTTTATTTATTTGAGAGATAGAGTTACAGACAGTGAGAGGGAGAGACAGAGAGAAACTGTCTTCCATCCACTGATTCACTCCCCAATTGCCTGAAACGGCCAGAGCTTAGCCAATCCGAAGCCAGGAGCTGTCGCTCCCCCTCTTCATGGAGGAACGACACTAAACCCTGCCTAGGCTTCATATCCGAGTCACGGCACCATTATGTCGCTCCCCCTCTTCGCGAAGGAACGACACAGGACCCTGCGCTGTTCTTTTGTCTGCTCGGCCCTTCCCGGGTTTGCTGCTGGTTCTTCCCGGGTTGGCTCCCGTCCCTTCCACCTCCGTGGAAGGGCAGTTCCCCCTGCCACTTTCCCCACTTCCGCGGGGGAGCGGCACACCGCCGGCCGGCTCTCTCGGGGGCTGCTCAGATGTTCCTCAGGTGTTCCTGGTGCATGTTGTCTCTCCTCCTTTATAGTCCTCTTCCACCAATCCCAACTCTGCTACCCACACGCCGAGTACGCTGCTCTCCTCCAATCAGGAGCAGGTCCTACAGTTTATTGATTGAACTGGAGGCAGCTGTGTAGAAGCTGTTTCCTCCTCTCCCAGTGCCATATTGTGGGAGAGCAGATGCATAGAATAAGTCTTAATTCCAGTAACTTAGTCTAGTCCGAGTTGCTCCCAGTTGCTCCCCACAAGGAGCCAGGAACTTCTGGGTTTCTGATGCTGGTACAGGGGCCCAAGGACTTGAGCCATCCTCCATTGCTTTCCCAGGCCATAGCAGAGAGCTGGATCAGAAGAGGAGCAGCTGGAACTAGAACTGGCGTCCATATGGGATGCTGAAGCTGCAGGCAGAGGATTAACCCACTGCGCCACAGCCCAGGCCCAATCACTTAATTCTTTGAATCCAGACATTATCTGCAAGAAACGCCGGATGTGGTTTAGTCATGTACTCACCAGATACCCGCACATCCTTTGGAGGTGGTCATGGAGCGTTGAATGAAGCACACACAGCTGCTCACGAAGCAGACACTCTAGGGTTTTGGGGAGAACTGCAGAGCGGGTGACAAATAAGATAATTCCAAGATGGTGCGCATGGATAGCAAGGGATTTACGATGGGGCACGTTGAGTAATGATGGTAGTAGACGACGTTGGGCACCGTGCTAGGCACTCTGCTGGTTTGCGTGCATTTATACCTTGTGGCAGCCGGAGAGGTGCGTGCTGTGACAGTCACCATTTTACATTGAAGAAAGGGACGCAGCGTGAGTAATGTGTTAGACTGCAGCCTGAGGAGGTGACATCTGAGCAGAAGCTGGAGAGGAGGAGGAGGAGTGGGCTCTGGGGAGGAGAGGGCTGGCAGTGTTTGAGGAACGCAGAGATCCTGGTGACCGGAGTGATACTGAGGCTGTTGGGACAGTCAGGAGTCAGAGTGTGCAGGGCCTCGAAGACTTAGATCTGTGAGGGACAGATTCCCCACAGCGATAAAAATCAGCAAGGACCAACTGATAAACTGAAGCCTGAATCTGACTACTATTTTAAGGTGCTTAATTGCTTCTTCGTCTAGACGGATGTCTTTTGTGAACAACAGTCATTAACATGGTATCTGTTCATTTATAGAATTGGAAAGTAATGATTTATATGGAGTAAATGAAATTTTGTTAAAGTTCTGCAAATCAGAGATAAACTAGTATTATCATTTTAGTTTATTCCATTCTCTTAAATGTTATATAGTCTCTCTCCCTCCCTACATATACGAAGGGCCTGTGTGTGTTTGTGTAACTCTTTCAAATTAAATAAATGAATCTTGAAAAAAATCATTTTAGGACAGACTTTTGCTGGCTGTTTTAAAAGATTTATTTATTTAACTTGAAAGTTAGAGTTAGAAGGAGAGACAGAGATCTTCCAAACACTGGTTCACTCCTCAGATGGCCGAACAGACAGATGGCTGCCGAAGCCATGCACTTTATCCAGGTCTCCCCTGTGGGTTGCAGGTGTTTTAAAATCATCCTCCGCTGATTTTCCCAGGCCGTTAGTAAGGAACTGGATTGGAGTGGAGCAGCCAGGACACAGACCGGCATCCATATATGATGCCAGCATTGAGACAGAAGCTTTACCCATTATGCTACAATGCTGGTCCCCTTTTATTGTTTTTTAGTGTTCTCAGAAAGTTACTTATACTTTCGGTTAAATAAGTGAGGAGTCCATGTTAAAAATTAGATTATTTTTAAAGTAATTTTAGGTTTGCAGAAGAATATTTTTCTGAGCTTTTGTTTAACATTTTTTTATTTGAAAGAAAGAGATCTTCCATCTGCTGTTTTATTCCCACATTCATGCAGGATCCAGGGCTGGGCCAGAGCAAAGCTGGGAGCCTGGAACTCCGTCCTGGTCTCCCAGGAGAGCCATCCAGTGTACCAATCCTGTCACCCAGGATGCGCCTCAATGGGAAACTGGATGGAAGTGGAGGATCAGGGACTTGAGCCAGACTCTCTGATGTGAGATGCTGGCAACCCAAGCAGTGACTCAAGCACTGTGCCAAACGCTTGTCCTTTACAGACATAGTGAGCAGAAGGGACAGAAAGTTCTCAAATACCTACTGTCCCAAGAATACAGATTTTTTTTTTTTTTTTACCCAGGATGTTTCACTAGGTATAAAATTATGCATGGGGAAAATACTCTGCATTCTTGATTAGCATAAGTATTGTTTGGGAAAATCATCCTCTACAAATTGTTTTACTTGAACCCAGGATTCCCTGCCCTCAGCACCAATAATGTTTTGGGTCAGATAATTATTTGTTGTGGGGGGCTGTTGTGTGCATTGTCGAGTGTGTTGCTGTGTCGCTGACTACTGCCCACTGGATGTCACTTCCCGGTCAAGATGACCCAGACGTCTCCTGGGGGGAAACAGAGTCACCTCTTACAGAGAACCGTTGCTCCACCCAATGTAACATGTTTCAGAATCTTATGCAGTTTTTAGGTTGGGCCCAAATTTAAGGGTTCTGTAGTTCACGCTGAAGTTGTATAGCGAGAGACCAAATCTTTGCTGCCACTTGGGCACTGTGGGCAGTATATGCAGTTTCCTTCACTATAAAATGGGCAAAATGCTCATGCTGCCTAACTTAAAGAGTTGTGAAAATTTATTGAGATAATGTACATAAAATACTTTGATTGGGGCAAGTGTGGGTGCAGCTGTTAACATGCTGCTTCAGATGCCTGCATCCTGTATTGGAGTACTTGGGTTCCGGTCTTGACTCTGCTCTGATTTGTAGCTTCCTGCTAATGTGCACCCTCGGAAGCAGCAGGTGATGGTTCAAGTAATTGAACCCCTGCCTTGTCCTTCAGAGTCCTTCTGTTCATATCTGAATTTCTGCCCATAGTAGCAGCTTGCATGCCAACTCTGATAGAGGAAACTGGACCCCATCAGCTTAAACTTGGTATTCTCAAGACTTCTAAAAACTTGACACAGTTTGCAACTAGTAATATCCACTGCCTGTTATTTTGTAGAATTACAAACCATTAGGTTATTCTTATTATTTTTCCTTGCAGAAAATTTCTGACAACTTGACGAAGATGAGAAAACGGTCAGAAAGGCTGTAGCAGTTACGTACTGTAAGTATCTCTTAGAAGAAGAAATCTAAGAGTATTTTCTGTGTCTAGATATTTGAAGGAAACTATGTTAGGCTAAGATAGTATATATAACATACAGAGGAGGATGTATTATAATTGTATTAATAATTTATGAGAACTAATACTATGCAGTCTTTTAAAAATTACAGATATACTCTTTTTTTTTTTTTTTTTTGAGAGGTAGAGTTACAGACAGAGGGAGAGAGAGGGAGAGAAAGAGAGGTCTTCCATCTGCTGGTCCACTCCACAAATGGCCGCAATGGTTGGAGCTGGACTGATCTGAAGCCAGGAGCTTCTTCCAGGTCTCCCTCGTGGTTGCAGGGGCCAAAGGACTTGGGCCATCCTCCACTGCTTTCCCAAGCCATGAGCAGAGAGCTGGATCAGAAGAGGAGCAGCTGGGACTTGAACCAGCGCCCATATGGGATGCTGGGACTGCAGGCAGAGGCTTAGCCCACTGCGCCATAGCACCGGGCCCCAGATATACTCTTATGTATGACATGAAAATTTTACCAAAAGCATTGAAACATATTTCTAATTCTAACAAGGATTGATTTAGTTTATGTACATTTGTTTATTTAAAGCTCTTAGAATCCAGAAAAATCATTATTTTTAGGTTGTGAATTTATTTGGGGTGACTTATTGTTTATCTTGCAGAAGTATGTATTTACTGATTTGTTTATGTATTTCCTTATTTTATTACTTAGATTATTTATCTTTTGGAATTACTAATATATCTTTATGACATGCTTTCAATTATAAATTAATTTTGAGTCTGTTAGTTTTGTTAGTTTTCATTTTTCTCCCTGTGGTTCTTGAAAATTTAAGTGTTAGCTTTAAGGCAAGAGTATGTTCATTGCATTGACCATTGCTTTTTTTTTGGGTAATTTATGGTAGAGGTATAATTTCAGTTACACTTTGTTTAGCTTTGAATTTATTTATTGATGGTTACTGGTGACAGAATGTGGGTTCCGTGTATAATTTGTACAGTTACGTACAAATTAGAGATGATTTGGCCTATCATCTTAGCAGAGATTGTGTTTGTAAACCTCAGTCTACATTACCCTTTGTATTTCCAAAGGGCAGGTCTGCATTTCCCACTTTCCTGAGAATCAGTACTAGAGTCCTGGTGGTTTTATTTTAGTGGCACATCTGTTTACTGTCATATTTTTAGGAAAGGTCAGAGACATGAAGTTCAACTTATATTTGGATCTCTGAGATATAAATTTGATAGATTCTTTGTGTTTTCAATCCCCATTATATGGGTATTTGGAGAACAGTAACATGTTTATGTATAGACTTTTTAAAAAAAAATTTTATTTTTGACAGGCAGAGTTAGACAGTGTGAGAGAGAGACAGAGAGAAAGGTCTTCCTTCTGTTGGTTCACCCCCCAAATGGCTGCCACGGCTGGCGCACCACACTGATCCGGAGCCAGGAGCCAGGTGCTTCTCCTGGTCTCCCATGTGGGCACAGGACCCAAGCACTTGGGCCATCCTCCACTGCACTCCTGGGCCACAGCAGAGAGCTGGACTGGAAGAGGGGCAACCAGGACAGAATCCGGCGCCCCAACAGGGACTAGAACCCAGTATGCTGGCGCTGTAGACGGAGGATTAGCCTAGTGAGCCACGGTGCCGGCTATGTATACACTTTTATATCAGTTATAAAGACATATTTCATATCTTCTCTGGAAAATCTTAAATCATTTTATTTTAATGAACTAAAATGGGCAAAGATATTTATAAATATGAAATATGGTTGCTTTGATTTTAGCTTTTAATGCTTGTATGTAAAGTTTCTCTTTTTAAGCACGTAGAGTCATTTCTTTCTTTTACCTGTCATAACATAGTTCATTTATTAGAGCTCTCTTGTTGAATGGGTTTAATGACTAGGTGCCAATAATTATATGGGAGAAAGAGTGCCCGGTGCACAGCCTGGTTGTTATTTTGTGTTTTCTTATAGGGAATTATTGTATGCTTTACAGTATTAGTAGTTCACAGAGAAGCTGCATTGTGCATTTCAAGTTGAGATGCTATTGAAATACAGTGAACATGGCTTCTGTAGATAGGTTTCACTATAGAATTGTAAATTATGTCTGCCCAAATTCCTTATTTCGAAATATTAAGTATATTAATATTTAACTAGAGTGTTGTCTTAGTATCTTCATATGCTTGCCTTAAAGGAAATATTTTCCTTTGATTTATATGCATGGATTTAAAAGTGTATTTTTCACATGGATCTGTGACTTTGCTGTTCTGGAGAGGAGCAAGCCCAGATACTGCCAGTGTGGTCTTTTGAAGCAATGTTGAATAGATCGAAATTAGCTGCCCTGATAGTCTGGCCAGCTTACCCTGTTAACATAGGTGGAGCATGAGCTGTGTCTCTTTACAAACACATACCCTAAAAACTTATTTTGATGCCAAAAGAAAACTTCATATGTTGTGCTTGCATGTATGTATATTCACACATATGTTTGTCTTCAAGGAAAAAACCACTTGGATGACACAGCTTGAAGCTGCCTGATAGGATGCCAGATGTTAGACTATTAATGTTATTGATTGATTCACTGAAAGTATTTCTTCTTCAAATAAAAGTAAATATATTGCTTAATTGGATCATTTCTCACATATAGGTAGTTTCAGAAAGCTGGAAAGTGTTTTTGCTGTGTTGGAAACAGGTGCTGCTCTAACAATGCAATCCATTATATACCAAAAATTATTTTAATCATAGACTAGCTTATGTGAAAAGTAGTGGTCTGGTATTCAGCCAGCTGCGTTTTCAGTCACTCATTTCTTTCTCCTTATCCAAATTTTTTTTTTTTTTTTTTTTTTTACAGGCAGAGTTAGAGAGAGAGAGAGACAGAGAGAAAGGTCTTCCTTTTTTCCGTTGGTCACTCCCCAAAATGGCCGCTAGGGCTGGCGCGCTGTGCCCATCTGAAGCCAGGAGCCAGGTGCCTCCTCCTGGTCTCCTATGCAGTTGCAGGGCCCAAGCACTTGGGCCATTCTCCACTGCCTTCCTGGCCACAGCGGAGAGCTGGACTGGAAGAGGAGCAACCGGGACTAGAACCCAGGGTGCCGGCGCTACAGGCGGAGGATTAGCCAAGTGAGCCGCGGCACCAGCCCTTAGCCAACATTTATGAAAGCTCACATATGCTAGCCCTCTGGATTTACAAATTCTCCTTTACAGTAAAGTCATTACACCCAAAATCAATGGTTCTTTCAAATAGGGAGAGAGGGGCTTAATATTTTAGAGCCTTCATGTACTTGCAGTATTTAAAATATAAATTATTTGATACTTAATTTTTCTTTTATAAATTAGTCTTTTGACCTGTAGCATTTCATTTAATATACAATAGATCAAAGTAATGGACTTAACAAATAATAAAGAATCTTTTATTGTATGATATAAGAACAATATATGTTTATTAAAGAGAAGGCATTTGGTGCAGCAGTTAAGAACTGCCAGGGGTGCCCACGTGCTACATTAGTGCCTGGGTTTGAGTCCTGGCTATACGTCAGGCTTCCTGCTAAGGCACACACTGAGAGGGAGCAGGGGATGATAGTTTAAGTATTTTGGTCCCTGGCACCTTGCATGAGACCTGTATTGAATTCTAGGCTCCTGGCTTTGGCCTGACCCAACTCCAGTTGTGAGCATTTGAGGAGTGTCCCAGTGAGCAGAAGATCTTTTTCTCTTTCTCTGCTTTTCAAATAAATAAAAAAAAATAAGAATAAAAATAAAAAACTGGAGCCGGCGCTGTGTCCTCGTAGGCTAAGCCTCTGCTTGTTGCACCGGCATCCCATAAGGGTACTGGTTCGTGTCCCAGCTGCTCTTCTGATCCAGTTCTTTGCTGATGGCCTGGGAAAGCAGTGTAAGATGGCCCAAGTGCTTGGACCCCTGCACCTGTGTGGGAGACCCAAAAGAAACTACTGGCTCCTGGCTTCAGATCAGCTCAGTTCCGGCACTGCAGCTGTTTGGGGAGTAAGCCAGCAGATGGAAGACCTTTCTCTCTCTTTTTCCCTCTCTGTCTGTAACGCTACCTCTCAAATAAATAAATAAATTTAAAAAACAAACAAATAATCCCACCATAGAGAAGCAACTAACAAATCCATTTCTTTTTTGATTTTTTTTTTCACTTTGAGTGCTGGCATTTTATATTTATCTTTTCTGTGACACAACAGTTGTAGTATATTACTTTTTAAATGACATAATGATATTTGATACTGTCCAAATATTTTTGTTTTACAAAGCTTCTAATCCAGTATCTGGAAAGAAATTCTTCCTTTTCCTAACTTCCATGTAACTGTACCACCATGATACTTCGTGCTCCTTACATATGTTTTACCTTCACTATCTTAAGAGAAAGCAGTAGTTTGTATTCTTTTTAAAAAATATTTTTATGACATCAGCTGATTGAATAAATGAAAGTAGAACTTATATTCAATTTGTCTTCCATCCGCTGGTTCACTCCCCAATTGGCCGCAACAGCTGGAGCTGCGCTGATCCGAAGCCGGGAGCCAGAAGCTTCTTCTGGGTCTCCCACGCAGGAGCAGGGGCACAAGGACCTGGACCATCTTCTACTGCTTTCCTAGGCCATAGCAGAGAGCTGGATAGGAAGTGGAGCAGCCGGGTCTCAAACCAGCACCCATATGGGATGCTGGCACTTCATGCCAGTGTGTTAACCCACTGTGCCACAGCACCGGTCCCATTCAACTTGTCTTCTCCTGTCAGTTGAAATAGCAAAATGGCAGGAGATATCACAATAGATTTTTTATTATGTGACTGGGTTATCCAAACAGGGCTTTTGAAGAAATGTTATTATAGAAACAATCACTGAAGGTTATGGAGCTAACAATTCTTCCCATATCTAAAGATGTACCTGGTCCCTAACTTCATGACTAAGTAACAAAGATTTAGTATGTTCAAATTTGTCAAGCAAATCTAATATGAAAGGTGACTTTTACCAAACAGATGTCCTACATAATATTTA